TTCGAATTTAATTCTCCTCCTCCTGTTATCTGCTCTCAAAATGAGCAACAGTTTTAAATTGCTACGTTATAAATTTACTTCGTTTCAGAGACTTAAAAACCGAGATTGAGTTATAGTCCTATTAGGTCGAATTCACATAGTTTCATGAAATATATAATTATATCCTCAGTCATATGGCTAGAGAGAATATATATCATTTGATTCGTGCCAAAGTCGAAATAACGGTTTTAGGTCCTAGGTCTCTTTGTCTAAATACGTTTCAGGACATTTGAAGTCGATCTGGCGATGTCCGTCTGTCCCTCCCTAATTACAACTCTTATAAATGTGATGTAAGATGATGCCTTCAAATTACACGAATACCAATATTTTTATAAACCCACTCCTTTTGGTACCTTTCCCACAAGGGGTCAAAATTTTGAATATCCATGAAGCTCATAAAAAAACAAATTAACATGCGATTCCATTCAGACTTGGTACACCTCAATATTTCCATCATCACAAGATCTGTTAAAAAGATGGTGGAGATCAGATCATTTCTCCTGGTACCTTCCCCATAAAGGGTTCAAGATTTTGAAAACAAAACTCTCAAAGAAAGCGGAATAAGAATCCAACTCTCTTCGATATATATCTGCGAACCCCTTCTCGTACCTCACCCACAAAGTGTCAACATTTTCAATATTTTTAACTGTCATAACTTTCGAAACATGTCAGCGACAACTTGATACATCTAAATATTTCTCTCAACCAGAAACCTGAATATGGAATTTATGATTTCTCATAAAATTGGATCTAAATGTTAGATTTTCTTTTCTTTCTTCCATACCAATATTTTTATCAGTGCTAGATGAAGTATGAAAATAAAATACTTCGGTCGACTCATGACATCACGACCTGGTACCTCAGTCACATTTTAACATTTTTTCAAATTATTACATATCTCATATATATTGAAGGGAGTAACCAATATAGTCCAAACCTGGCGCTCCACAATATTTTTTTTTCATATTTATTTAGGTCCGATACGAAATTTTTGAACAGTTGCGGTTTGTGTCCATTTCTTCAAATTTTTTTAACACAGAGATTTTTTGAATTTTTCAAAATTTCATTAATGTAAGCTTACCTTCTTCAATTTCATCATTGAAGATAGCTGTTCACATACGCCATCATCGGATTACAGCTGCTTCTAAAAAAAGAACATCAAGCCAATGCGTTTTCCAAATGACTGAAAAGGGGTTTGGATGTTTGTGTTATTCACAATTTAATTCGAAAATCACTTAGTTATGAAATGATATCGTTTAAATACCACAATGCTTAACAAAATTAAATGTTTCACACAATTCGAAATCACATAACAATGGCCGGCATTTCATGAATTAATCCATTGTTCTGTTCAAATGAAATGGGTCAATTTCCTGCCGTGACAAAAAAAAAAATATTTCAAAATGTATGTGATGAAAACAGGGTTTTTTAATTAACCGAATAAGTAGCATGGCACTTACCTGCAATTTATTATTAGGTTTTTAAAATTTAAAAGGAAATCAACAGAGGATGGAATTTTGCGTCAGATAAAATTTATAAGAAGGATATTTAAAGAATTATTTTTTTAAACATCTGTTTTTTGGGTGATCGTTTATTTTCAAAAACGATCACCACTAGCATAACTGAATATCAATAACTCATTTTTAGATTCTCATACCTCTCAGGATTGAATATAAACATATATTTTCCCTTAATAGATATTTGTTGAAAAAAAAATAAGAAATGTTCGTATTCGACAGTACTAATATCACAGAACGAAATATATCGATTGATTACAAAATATCTCTCTTACTCTCTCTCCTAAACGAGGTATCATAATTTCTGGTTTTACGAACAAAGTTCACAAAAAAATTTACTTAGAAAATTCCAGGATGAAATTCCATTATTAAAAACCGAACTCCATAAAAATGTTCATTCTCTATCTCTTTCCCACACACAAAACAAGAGCGTTTCTAGTTTCTAGAGAAAAGAAAACATCTATTGGAAATAAAAAAATCTGAAAGAAGTCTAAAGATCATCATTAAAGAAATTACCGCCTGCGGTCACCTTACAATGACATTTTGCCATTTAATTATGGTGCTTTTCTCTTAGTCCAAGCTTAATAAAATTACTCAAAATAAAGTCTTCGAAGGGGTCAGTTAGTTTGCGGCGTACTTTTTTTTTAAGAAGTTATTAAGCAAAAAGATCAAAGCAGACATGTGATCTCTGTAACCTCACTAATGATTAGTTAAACGTTTATTAAGTAAGCGTTTTGCCACAATGTCTGGCAAATAACAACTTACTTTTTTAACCTACAACAACACCACGCCGTAAGACATCGCTAAAGAAATATAGTCATCATCAGGAGAAACAATATTACGGATGCTCTGAAGCTGGCGGCAATTGCCACCTTTTTTTCGGGCACCATAGAAGGTGATATTTTTCTTGATGATGGTGGTGTTGGTGATATATAGCTCCTTTCACCTCACCAACACCACTGGGATTTCCTATCATATAATAATGTAGAGTTTTATTTTCTTGATCATTATTTGATGTTGTGAACTTTACTAATGTCGTTCATTTATCTTCGAGACACGCTGTGGCTCATTCACTCACTCGCCATCGCCGCAACAGCAGTTGTGGCAAGTTAATGTGATGGGTTGGACCATAACAATAATACACCTTTGGTTGTCGGCATCCAGCTGATTCGCTTACATTGTCATAATTATCTCTCGGTTTACTCGTTTAGTTAAAAATGTTAAACGTTTCGTGTTCGCGTGTATGACGGACAACAACGAATGACCACCGGACTGTATGACACAGCCATGGAGTTGAAGAGCTAGAGAAGATTGGTGGCCCAAAATGAATCAACAAATCCCATCATTCATTTTTTGTTTTGCTTTGGAATATGTATGGTAAAGTGTGATTTGAAACGACAGGCTTTGCGGGACTTCAGTCAGTCACCATTTAGAAGGAGCTCGTGTGATGTAGCGTGTTGCGGTTATTGTTACTTCATACCTCCTTGGTAGCGGCAAAACATTTAGCATTTAATGTACGTGTTGAGTGATTAATGGTGGTCAGATTTCAAATGTACAAACATCAGTTATGTGAGAGAATAAAAGTAAGATGTCATGGGTTCGATGATATAAAATGGTATGAGAGGAACACTTAGAGAAAAATTTAAAAAATGATAAAAATAATACATTCTCTTTGTGTTTTACTCTCTTCTCGAATTCGAGTGGGAGAAAAACATGTTGTGTACTTCATTCTTCTATGTCACTGGAATTAAAGCGAGAATGCTTTGCTCGTTTTTGAATGTTAGTAGGAAAATATTCTACTTTTGCAGAGAACTTTTTTTAGGTTACCTTATACCGTTGTTTTATTTCTTAGTATGTGCATTTTTTCAACACACAGCCCTAAATGAAACAAATTGAATTGGCATTGCCACCAATATCTACCAACAAAGTCTATGTGGTTGTTGTTGTGCATAAAATCGAATTTCCGTTGCAATATATTCTGCTGTTTTTTTTCTTCTTGGCCTTTGTACACGATCTACTCTCTTATCCCCAATTTTCACTCGATTTCACTGTTAGAGTAAACACTTACTCTATTTCGAATGTTTTGACTCCAACTTGTATTTTTCAAATAGGAGTGCACCGACACAGAACATAAAAGAGCGAATAGTAAACTTCTTGTAAAATTCGTAGTCTTCGAGCATTCCTGTTCCCAAGTATTTTTTTTCTCGAGAGTAAAATTTAGCTGTGATAAATTTCACCTTCATTTCACCTAAATTGTATGATCGAAGAATTAAAAATTCCTGCAATGGAATGGAAATCTGATTTTCTGAAAACTTTTCTAATGTAACATTTATTTCTTTAATATTTGTTTTTCACTTAGAAAATAAATTCTTTTAACAAAGAGAAAGAAGAGAAATAAAATTTTTTCGTTTATTGTTGGATGTGTACCTCTCTGACAACTCCATCAAATTAAATCATTAATTAATACACACATCAAACCCTTCTACTAAAGACCAGAAGACATTTCTGCATTTTAGATGTAGCTGATGTCATAAAACTCTTATTGACAATTAATAAATTTTTCCTTTTACTTCTCAGCCGAAAGAATCATATATCTCATTTCAAATTTATTGCAAAACATTTTCTCCGTGTATTTTTCCATAGATTTTTTTATTTCAAAGTTGCACATACATATATATGCGGCAAATCTTCAAAAGAGGCTAATCAGTCAAATTGCTGGCTATCATAACACAAACTCATGGTAGATGATAAATAAATTGAGATGTAAACGGCCATTTTCGAGACTAATCGTTTATTTCATCTTTCACCTAACCTTCAAAGAAATGTTGTTTTGTCTTAGATGATGCCATCGTGGCTGGCAAAATGTTGGTCGCTCCATACCCCTTCCCATCTCTTTTCTGTGGCATTTGCAATGTTTCTTAACTAAGCATTTAATATTTCCATCAGGCATAACTAATTTGAAGTCGGAACTTCATTACGTTACAAGAGAGGCTTTATTTTAGACCTTGACGTGGAAGTTGATTTTTAGGCTACATTTTTTCCCATCGGCAGCCTAGTGGACCATCATCTGATTGAAGTGATTTTTTTATTTTGTCTAAAATTCATCAATAACGTTGAGATTAAAGTGGATCGTAACACTGAATGGCGTGTCTGTGATATGAAAGATCCAGTTTGTAATTGTACAGCTCAAAATCACAGCTGGCTATAAATTTAGTATTATGGGAATTTGTGATATTGGTTTAATGTGATTCAGATATTGTAAAGTAACGGGTTGTTCTTATTGATATGAAAAGAAGCTCCCTCTCGCACAAGAAACCAGAGTAGAAATTCGTATCGAAAAAAATTATGTATATACTTACTTCAAAATATATCTCATCTTTTGCAAAAAGAATATTACCAAATTTTCATCTCTAAAAACAATTTCTCCATCTTTTTTGTTTTTAGATTACAACATAATCAAAATTCCGGTCTCGGCTGCAGACGTCGACCCGATGGTGCCCCCTCACCAACACCCTCAGACACCTCCGACTCTGACATATCGCTGGGTACCCACTCTCCGGTACCGGGTAGTTTACATTTGCAACACAGCCCCGGTTCAACTTCGAATGGCGCCAACGACGAAAGTCTCAGCATTGATGATGATAAACCACGAGATCTGTCAAATTCACTGTCGGGCAGTAATTTACCAGCATATCCCAGCGCTACATTGCCACCCTCATGTTTGCCTTCGTTTAAACTGGATGCGGCCGCCACAAGTCTTTTCAGTGCAGGATATTTGCAAAGTTTTGCCAACTTTAAAGAAATGACCCAACAGTTTCCCATACAACCGATGGTGATAAGACCACATCCACAGCTGCCGCAAGCTTTGGCTGCCATGAATGGGGGTAATCATTTGCATCCTAATTATGCCTCGGCGGCTTATGTTGTCGATTGTACGTCGCCACAATCATCGCATCCACCAAAAATACGTGTCAATTCACCGGAAAAACTTAATTTGACTGCGAACAGCATAGCAGCAACACTGACGGCGGCGGTGGCCCATCATCCGCACCATCAACATCAGCAGCACCCCCACCTCCAACAGCAGCATCTTCACCAGCACCACCAGCAACAGGCAGCAGCGCATCAACACCCACCTACAATAACAATTCAAAATCAACGTGGCAGCAGTAGTAGCCCCAGCAGTGTATCCTCGGCAACAGCCTCCTCGGCGACAGCGTCGGCAACGTTGGCCACGGCCTCGGCAACAGCGGTAACAACGCCCTATCATCACAGCTCGCAATTTTTACATCGCCCATTTTCTCCATCGCCCGATATTGTAAAGCACAATAGTGCTCCGGAGATAACATGATGATGTCTAAGCACCAGAGTCTAGTGCAAGGACACACAGAAGGAAAGGAGGCGGTTATGGCAACAGAAGGTGGTATTACGTACAATTATGTAAAAAAGTTTAAAAAGCAATCAAATGTTAGGCGTTAAATAATGCAAAAAAAAAAGAAAATAACACACATACACAGAAAAACGATGGGAAGGGGGTGGTGCATGTAACAGTGCGAAAAATACAAATTTACCATTTGAATATACAATACAAGAGAACAAAAGCGAATTTTCTCCTTTCTGTTTTTTAAAATTTTGAAAATGTAATCATTTAGCGTGTATTTTTTGATTCGAAAGCCAAACATAACCTATAATTTGAGAATTAGATGGTGGAAGGGAAGCACGTGACCGTTTATCATCTTGGAAGGGAGGAAAGGGAGCGGAAATGCTAATATTTTACATTGTTTGCCAGCCGCAAGAAAAGAAAACACGAACTTAAAGTAAAGTTACGATTGTAAAGCAAAAAAAATATATGAGATTTTAGAATTGAGTTGTCGCCAAGGAATTTCAGAAAATGTATAGATCAATTATAATTACAACACTATTTTCAAATAAAAATCGAGATCCATTTTCATAGAGATTATTCAGAATATGATGAGCACTTTTAAGAATAAATAAAAATCAGTTGGAGAAACAGTTCGGCAATAAATTTATCATAACCGATCTATCTCTGATTTTTTTCAAGCAATTAGGTCGTTCATCTAGTTTCAAGACTTACACAATTATTATTTGAAAGTATTAAAATTAAAAAATATGAAAATTTTATTTGTAATGAAGGTTTATTTTGTGTTTTCATTCGTGTCGTTATGCAGAAACTGACTTTTACCATATTTATTTAGTTCAGGTCCAAATTATGAATTGACTTTGAAAATGATTGACAAATGAGATAAAATCTTGGAAAGACTGATGAAAATTTAGGAAATTTTGGAGCCACTGTCGAATAAGATGTTTCTTGCAAAAAGTTGAAAAAGTCCTTGGAATACGATTCTGAGGATTGAATGATTTTCAATTCAAGCCGTATTTTATAATGTCTCTAAATATACAAAAAATGTTCCTAGGTGCAGTATGTATATTAACTCTTTACAACATTCAACATCGACTCACAATTCGGTACAACAGTTCCGCCTTATTATATATCGTGGATATTATAAAAATAGTGGGTGATATCCTAATATATACCTGTAGACCGTTTCTCTCTCTTCTAATTTATGGGAACTATTCCCGTAAAAAGAAATATAGAAACAACTTTAGGTGATTATGGATTGGGACCGAAATAATTAAAAATTAAATTAAGAAAAATTGATAAAACTAACCAAGAATAGAATTTTTGCTGATTCTATAAGTCGATGGAACGGAAATCCGACTTTTTTCTACCGAAACGTCAAAAAAGTTCCCGCACTGGAGAGCAATTTTGCTCTGCAATTAACGGAAAGTCGATTTCAAATCGGTTTTTGAGGGCGATGCTGCTAAAGCATTTACAAGTGTGTTGTATATACCGTATTTGCTTATGTTGGCTGTTGGCTTATGTTGGGTCTCCCATAAATTCTTTCGTTCTCAACATTTTTGTATATTGTATACCAAATCTAAGAAGCCAAAACATCAGAAAGAATTACAAGAACCTGGCAAATTGTGTATGCAAAAACACCAGAAGCATCCCTTACATGGAAAGAAAACAACCATAACATAAAAACTAGGAAAGTACTCGGACAGAGTCGAATATGCTCTATTTGAAAGAAAATAGTGGTATTGAAAAACAAAACAGACTCTTTTTATTTGTTTCTTCTTCTACTCTCATTTGGAAGTATTGATCACTAGTAACGTTAACCACGACATTGTTCATTTTTATTTTTAAAAATATATCAGCTTTTTTTTAATTTACAACAGATGGATGGCGGACAAATTGTTCTATACCATATTTTGGCATGTAAAATACTTTTACCTCCCTTCACAGTTATATGTTTTAGTGGTAGAAACAGACTCCAAATATTTCCGTTTTATATATTTAGTTTTAGAAGTTAATTTTATAGTCTAAAATCTCCACATATCATCTATCTGAAAGTTCTTTGGGAGATCATCCAGATGCATTGATTCATTCAATCGACTCACACAATAACAGCAATAAGTTCGTCTTATAAATTTCGTCTTCAAATTTACACGTCTTGATGTTTGCCTTATAGACATCTCAGTCTGAGTTAAGATCTGTCCAGTGCTTTTCTTTTAGTTACAACATACAATTTTCCATTCTACATTCATTGATTATACTCATAGTTTTTATACACCTGGCCTTGGGCTACTTTTATTTTTTTATGAAAATAACATATTCTAATATTATTATATTTTTATAAGGCATCCACATTTTTTAATAAAATGCAAAGAAAATTTCACCCACCAATTAAACAAATAATAATCAGAAAATGCATTTCAAATATTCCCTTTTTCCTTCATACCAAAACTCGCACAACTAGTTTACAAAAAATACCACAGCACTACATAACATTTCATCCTCCAACACCCCCTTCCCAACTACCCACAAAATATAAAACAAAAACCTAGTTAAAAGAAAATTATATCCTATACCCTTCTATTTGTCAAATAATAAAAAAAACGATATTAATCCTACAAAATATATTTTGCTTATTTCTAAACATAATTTAAGAAAAATAAGTAATAATATTAAAAATGAACAAGAAATTAATTAATGATAAAATGTAATACATCAGCAATGATTTAAGTACTTTGTATATTGTATTCTATAAGGCTATTCACCTAAAGTTTATCTCTTTTTTTGTACTTTGTTTGTTTTTTTTTTTAATGAAAAAATTGTGTCTGGCTTTGCTTCAGAATATCAATTTTGTTGGTAACTTATCATTTTAGTATCGTTTCTGTATTTCTTCTAAAACTTTCTTTTTTGAGTGTATTCAATTGTAAATAGTTTGTAAGATTACCTACGAACATGAATTATCGAACATAGAAAAACAGAAAAAATTAAAATTATATATATTTAGTTAATAGAAAGCTTATTATTAGAATGCAATAAAAATAATAACTTAAAAGTAAATCAGTTAAACTATATAAATATATATATAAAAATATTTAAAATATATCTGAAATGTGTTTTTTTTCGACAAGAATCGGCTATTTGGCACGTTGGGCCGTCGTGTGGAAACTAAATGTTGCCAATATCCTCCACTTTAATTTTTGTGAACAAAAATTGGTTCAACTCGTCCTGATAACGTAAGTAATCGTTACATGTACATATAACTGGGTGGTGCAGTTTTTTTTTAAAATTCTAAAACCTGGACTCAATTGTTGTTTTTAAGATATCGGGAGGTATCGCTATATGGGGGCTAAAAAAAGACGTGGACCTGAACATACACTTTTCTTTCATAGGCTATAATATCTACTACAAACTTCAAATCACTAAATTTTAAACAATTTCGGTGAATAATGACGCTAATATCATTAAAATACCGAATATAGGGAGGCAGCATTTTATAGGGGCTATACCAAAACATGGACCTGCACAGACAATTTTTTGTCATAGGCTGTAATATCCATTACGAACTTCAAGTACCAAATTTAAAACAATTCCAGTGAATAATATCGCTAAAATCATCAAAATACCGTAAATAGGGAGGTACTATTATATTGGGGCTATACCAAAACGTGGACATACATGGCTTATTTTCAATGCCAAAAGTCCTGCAGACGTAATATACATTTGAATAACATTTTATCAACCTACTACATTTCGTTCGGAAGCTAGAGTGGTTTCCACAGACGGATAGATGGATATCGCTAAATTGACATAGAATATTATGCTAATCAAGAATATATATACATTTTGGGGTCTAAAATTTATATTTCCAGGTGTTACACACGGAATGAGAAACTTCAAGAGTGATGGTGCGATTTCTTTATATTTGACTGGAAAACCACAAGTGGCTATTGTTAGAGCTCTCCAGCATTTTAATGTGAATAAATTTTTAGTGTCTCGCCCGTTACCGTGATACTGGTAGCGTAGCCCGACGTCAAGGAAGTGGAGGGAGAAAACAGCAACATCAGTAGAAATGGTTCCAAAAAGTAAAGAAGGGACTTGATCGAAACCTGCGACGCAGTGGCCGAAAAATGGCTCGTGAGCCAAACATATCGCAATATCCCATTCGGAAAATATTGTATATAAAGCCATTGAATTTCCAAAAAGTGCAAGAACTTACACCGCAGCCGAAAGAAAATAGACTCAAAAGAGCTAAAGAGTTGTTTTGCTTGGCCGAAAGTGTTGAGCTGTTGGTTTTCTCCGATGGGAAAACATTCGTTGTCCACCAGCTTGTAAACAAACAAAATGATCGTGTTTACTTGCCAAAGAGGTCAGCTGAAAATGTGCACCTTCAGTTGGCCAACAGAACAAACATTTTGGCCGCAGACCTTGGACATTTCTACAAGACTCAGCACTTTCGCATTCAGCACGCGCCACCCAAAATGAAGTTACTCGCTTCATTTCCAGCGCACAATGGCCACCAAAATCTCCGGATACCAATCCTTTGGAGTATTGTAAGCAAGCGCTTTGCCGGGAATGGGCCAAAATACCACAAATCAACATTCGAGCAGCGTGTCAAGGTTTCATTGGCCATTTGAAGGCCATAATTTGTTCCAAAGGTGACCAATTCAAACAAATCTAAACTTATTCTAAAATTTGAATTTCCGACATTTTTTGCATTTCATTAACAAAATTTAAAAATTATGTCGTTTGACTTTGTTGCAGTTTATTTTGTCTTACCCTGTATTTTGACTTCCTTCATGATTATTCGAAATGTTGACCCTTTATTGGGATGGCGCCGTAAGAAAATATTGAGTAGTGCAAAAAATACTTATTTCCAGTTTTATGTGATTAATTGGTAATTAGATGTGAGGGAGGTACCAAAAGAAGTGAACAGACATATTCCATATTTACATTAGATCTATGAATGATACAAATAATAATTTAAACAAGTTAAAAAGTAGTAAGTTCGGCCGGGCCGAACTTTTAATACCCTCCACCATTTGCAATGAATTTGGAAATTTTCAAAAAATAAAATCCTTAAAAAATTCTGTTAAAATTTTAAAAATACCGAATATAGCCGTTATATTGGGGTCTATACGACGTGGACATACATATGCATTGTTTGTCATAAGCCATTACCATATTCAAATTCGAAACTGGACCCGCACCGACAATTTTCTGTCACAGACTGTAGTTCCCATAACGAACTTCAAATACCAAATTTTAAACAATTCCGGTTAATAATGTCGCTAAAATCATCAAAATACCGAACATAGCGAGGTGCCGTTATATGGGGGCTATACGAAGACGTGGACCTGCACAGACAATTTTCAGTCTTAGGGTGTAGTATCCATTTGGAACTTTAAATACCAAATTTGAAACAATTCCGGTGAATAACGTCGCTAAAATCATCAAAATACCGAATATAGGGAGGTATCGTTATATTGGGGCTATACGAAGACGTAGACCTGCAAAGACAATTTTCTGTCTTAGGGTGTAGTATCCATTTGGAACTTCAAATACCATATTTGAAACAATTCCCGTGAATAATGTCGCTAAAATCATCAAAATACCGAATATCGGGAGGTACCGTCATATGGGGGCTATACGAAGACATAGACTTGCACAGACAATTTTCTATCTTAGGGTGTAGTATCCATTTTGAACTTCAAATACCAAATTTGAAACAATTCCGGTGAATAACGTCGTTAAAATCATCAAAATACCGAATATAGGGGGGTTACCGTTATATGGGAGCTATATGAAAACGTGGACCTACATGGCCCATTTACGAACTTAACCTGCCTACTGGAAAAATAAACATGTGTGCAAAATTTTAGCCATCTATCTCAATTCATTCGAAAGATAGCGTGATTACAACAGACAGACAGACAGACGGACATCGCTAAATCGACTTAGAATTTTACGCTGATCAAGAATATATATACTTTGTTGGGTCTGACATGAGTATTTCGAGGAGTTACAAACGGAATGACAAAGTTAATATACCCTCCATAGTATGGTGGAGGGTATAAAAATCGACGACTCTTTGTGGGGGATGTACCACAAAGAATGGGTCGATAAATTCCATATTCACATAAGATATAATGTAGGTGAAGGTATTGCGTAATCAAAGTAAGAAGAATAAATAATTAGTTTTTTATGTGACTTGACACATTTAAAGTTTTGACTCCTTGTAGGGATTGAGTCGAAAAATTCCATATTCACATCAGATCTCGGGTTAAGCGAAAAATTGAGATGTATTTACTTTAAAGAGAATCACTAACTTGTTTCGCATGTCACAGGGGTAATAAGTACTCAACATTTTTACCGTTTGTAGTTGAGATACTTGAAGGTATTGGCCGCTATATCCCACCTTCCCACCAAGTCTTGTGTATTGTACATGCAATCGAATACGAATACAATATTTTAAATGCATACCTAAATTTTTATTGAACACTCATTCAGATTATATTCAGAATAGACAGTAGTTTTAGCTTTGTTTTTAAAAAAATTAAATTTAACATTTATTATTTCACTTTATGTTTGGAATTCTTGAACCCATTTTCATGAAATGTAATAATTTCGACGAAATTATTGTGTGTGAAATTTACAATTTTAAATGAAACCATATTAGAGAGGGTTCTCTTTTTATTCCCACTATCAAGAAATCTGCTCGTAAGACTTGAAAGTAATTGGTCTAAGTAAGGTATAAAAACTGTTGATTTCTAATACCCTTCAGGGTCGGAGTTGGGAATGTTAGATCTATAATTGTGTGTTCTTTCTCTTCTCGTCTATGTTCAAGTTTATAGTTTAAGGAAACGGGAACAAATTAAGTGTAACTTCTAATAAACGTGAACTTATTAGAAGTCCTACTAAAACATACAATTTTCATATCCTATTGTGGAAATTCAAAGCATCACTGTAACTTATAAATATAAAACTGTTCATCTATATACATAAGGAAACAATAATGAACGGTTTATGTATGTCGAAAAGAAAAATGCTAATTATGTCCAAAATAATTATGCAAAGCCTATAGTCGTACCAATCATGTGAAATCTCACAACCCTATGATATATTGGTTATATAATTGATTTTTTTTAAATAATTCGATTTATAATGGTTATGTTTTTTAATTTTCAATTGAAAGCTTATAAGATTTTGTCATTGTTACATTTTTCCGTTTGGAATACTCCTTTAGCTCCAACTCTTTGACCGGTTTTTGACCAGAGCTTCGCGCAAGTTTTTTTCCTCTAATACAAAAACAAAATTTAAAAAATTTTCTTCAAAAAAATCAGTATCAATATAAAGGTCACTGTCACGACTTGGCTAAAATCATAAATATACAGAATGTTGGGAAGTGCCTTAGAAAAACGTCGACTGTGTAGACAATTTTCTGCTACAGTGCACTATGAGGCCGATGGCATGTTTTTGAGGCAAAAAATATTTTTTTTTTGTCAAGTTGTCAAAGATAACAAGTTTTATTTTCACCATTTCCTGACACTTCAACTTAATCAAACCGTATTATTGGCGACAAATAAAAACTGTTTGCAATATATTAACAACAAACAAGTAAAAAAATACCCTCCACCATTTGGTACAAATTTGGTAATTTCCAAAAAATAAATAAAATCCGTTTAAAATTCTGTTAAAATCTTAAAAATACCGAATGCCTATACGACGACGTAGACCTGCATAGGAAACTTTTGTTATAAGTTATTACAATATTTAAATGCGAAACTTGAAGAAAAATCTGTTTATAATGTAGCTAAAATCATCAAAATACAGAATATAGGGGGTACCGTTATATGGGGGCTATACGAAGGCGTGGACCTCCACAGACAATTTTCTGGTATGGGCTGAAATATCTATTACGATCTTCACATGAGAAATTTGAAATAATCCCGGTAAATAATGTCGCTAAAATTATCAAAATACCGAATATCGGGGGGTACCGTTATATGGGGGCTATA